ATATATATATATATATATATATATATATATATATATATATAAGGATATGTGTGTGTGTACTTTATATTTATATTTCTTATATATATATATATATATATATATATTTCTCTGAAAAATAGTTACAAGTTCAATGATATATAACATTGCTGCGCGAAATAAGAACATTGACCATTGGCCAAAAATCGGGGGTCAAAATTTGGCCAATAATTAAATTGTTTATATATATAATTAAATATATAATTTTTTACCCCGCTGACATATTTCAAAGATGTATATGGTTTTGAAAAACACTTTTTGAAACATAATAATAGAAAAAGAAATGATTGAATTAATGAGGTTTTGTTTGAACAAATTTTTGTTCAAGCAAACATTTAGTCGATTAAACGAATTATATAATTGGTGTGTTATCAATTAATTCAGTATAACTTCGATTTGGTCAATAACTATATCAACGCAACTTATTATTGCACTAACATGTAATTTGTTTTAAAGACATAATATTTTTTTGAAGACGGGTGACCGCCGTTTTTGTCGATATAACTGCTCTTTTTTCACTCTAAGTTCAACTATTAATTGAAAGATTTTTTATTTTTTTTGCTCATATTAGTTGTCAATTGAACGGTCTTTAATTGAATTTGTTTAAATAAATCGTCAATTATAATGATTATAATTAAATTTGTTGAAATAAATTGCCGATTAAATGGTCTTTAATTGAATTGGCACATATTCTAAACGTCAATTAAACATAATAATTAATTTAAAAATAATTAATTACTTGCAACTCTGTCACAGAGTACCTTCGTCTATTTCAACTACGGAAATCCTTATTATTGTGGACGGTGAATTGAGGAACGACTCGATTATTTTCAACGTTTCCCTGTATGGAAATGCCAATGCAAACATTGTGTCACGATCCGGCATTTGGACCTTGTCAGAGAATTATCTGGAACCCCGATTCTTCCTAAAAGTGAATAGGTACGTCATTAGTTTTGCGGTTGAATTTTCTCGACGTTAAATACACGACAATATATTTTTCAATGTGTAAATGCATCGTTCCGTTATCATTAAAGTATGGCATAACCCTTATAGAAATATCAAACTAAGAATCATTGATAATTACTTATTATCCAGTATTTTTAATATTGAAAATAAGTAATTATCAATGATTCTTAGTATGATATTTCTATAAGGGAATAATTGTGCGATAGAATAACGTGTTTTTTGAATTTTTAAGTGGTTCAGTAAATACTACGTAAATATTACGTATCTTCCACAAATCTCGCACCTGTCACATTAACGTTCTGTATACATAAATGTTAGTGTATATGTACATATCCACAGTTATGAGGAGTTGAGAAATGAATTCGACATGATTAATATGAGAGGCAGAAAGTTGCAAGTATGTACGTTTTATCGGCCGCCTTTTTGCTATCTCAACACGACGATCAAGAAAATAATAAATGGCGTTGAGGAAGAGGTTTTTCCAGCGAATAACGGTAAATCGAGTCGCTTAAACGTTCAATTATATCTATTTTTATGTAACCTATTAATCAATAAGTGGTCTTAAATAACGAAAATAATAAGCTTATTATTATAAATAAGTTTTTGATATTTTATTTGTTTTTCTAATATGCGGAAGAAAAGAAAGAGTCAGTGAAACTTGATGTGTGACGATTCTTTCGTACATTTGCAGATAAAGAAAAGGATGGAATAGAGGTAAAAATATTTCTGATTCTTGCGGAGAAGCTAAACTTCACTTGGACGTTACGGAAACCAGGAGGAAAGTACAGGTTGCTTTCATAATAATTTAATCACATCGTACGGCCAACGCGCCAATATTAAAAATGATACAATTTTTAGATACGGACGACGTAATGGATCGGAATGGAATGGTGGCGCAATTCAACTTCTGCGGCAGAAAAAGGTAGTGTTAGCGAGTGGGATAAATGTCAAAATATTCGAAAGAAATATTGTAGTAAAAATTACGTTAAAATTGTACTTTTATTTTTATAATTTTCTTTGTAAAGCTAGATTAAACTGAAATTGTAATATAAATTACTATAGAAATATAGTAAATTTGACGCTTCACCTGTGATACATGATATAAAAAGTATTTTAAACTATATATATATATATTTGTTTGGAATACAACCAAATTAAGAGAAATATTATTCAGTAAGAGCCGTACGTTGAATATTAGTGCAAATAAATAATTTTTATGAAAGGGAGTAATATTGCTTGACAGTAGAAACGCATGTGCTGAACATTTTTCGGTGTTTACAACGGATACGACGAATTAAATGTCCCACGTCAAACCGTCAACCGGAAAGTATAAAGTGGTACATTCTTTCCTAATTATAACAAATTCTATTCTATACAACGTGGCTCTATAGCAAATTATCGAAACCTATATAGTAATTTATATATGGATTAAAATTCTATATAGATTAGGATTACAAACATTTTGTACTTTTACTACAATTTTTACTACAATATTTTCTCTGTGTAGAATGATATTAAGAGCTTGTGAAAATTTGTTACATTTTTAGCAATATTTCTTTCATTAATAGTAACGCAATAGCATGTGTTATGTTCAATTTAAGTACTTGTTATTATTATCTATAACCATATTGTTACTTTTGAATAATTGTCTGATTCTGTGTTTGTAAAACAGATGTTTTGCATTACGTAGGGCATTAATTGAATAAAAATGTAGTTGACTGAAATAATTGTTAAATTAATAATAAAAAAACTAATTATGATATTTATAATCACGAATAATGTAATTGATTGGTGAAATTAATTATTAATCAATCTTCAACTTAATTGATTATACACTGATAAATAATTAATTTCATTAATCGATTAAATTGTTCGTAATGACTTATATGACGACTGATTAATTTTAATTGTTGATTTGTCAATTATTTAAATAAAATTTGAATCGACTAATGCTCAACATTGCTGTAAAATATTAAAGTTTTTTAATAATTTTGAAATAAATTATTGTGGCCAATTTGATTACTACAATTAAATTGTATTAATCAAGATAAACGATTCCAATTAATTTCATTTGATTTATTCGATTAAAATTCGTCATTAGTTGGTCAATTGATTGATTGCACGCAAAGAATTTTTCTCGAAGATATAAACAACTAAGAAATTTAAGATACTAGATTTAACCCTGGACTATGTGTTTGTGATAGTCATGAATCACCCTTTATGTATAAATATTTGTGTTTATGAATTATTGTGTTGTATGAATAGATTCTAGTCGCGCAGTACTAGTTTTCCGGAAAAATATTTTTTCGTGAAATTTTTCATATTTTTCCGAAAAAATGGAAAAATATAAAAAATATTTTTTTATTATATTGCTTTTAATTCACTTTTTTAAAGATATAGGGAGATGTTTTACTATTTTTACAGCATAGTAGAGTAAAGCCCGTTTTACAATAAAAATATAATTTAAGATATTTTGGATAGATGACTTTTTCTTTCTGACAAAGTACCTCATTCTGACAAGTACGCATTTTCAAAAGTAATACAATATATAATAATATTACAGCGTGAGTGATGTAGTTTATGTCAACATAAGGAACAGTAGTTTTCTGCAGTCTTTAAGATTTTGATATGAAACGAAACATACAGAAATAAAAAATTAAATATTTTCCATATTTTTCTTTGGAAAAAATATAAAGGAAAGTTTTTCGAAAAAAAACAAATTTTTTCCAATTTTACCGGAAATTTTTCCAATTATACCTAGTACCTATTAGTATACCATATTATTAAAAAATTTTCTGCATCAATGTCATTTTTATTCTCCTTTAAACGTTGTATCATCAAATCCGATTGACACACGAAAAATTACGGCAATTTTATTTATCGCGATTAATCGTAATTTTGTACTATCTTCTGTACATAGGTTGACATGGCATTCGCGAGCATCTGGCTGACAAAGGATCACAACGCGTTCGTGAACATGTCGGAACCTTGGTTCCAAATATTCATACATTTCCTCGTGCCGCGACCGCAGCCTATCACCAGTTTCTGGGCGCTTACAAGGCCTTTCTCGCTGGAAGTCTGGATACTTCTAATACTTGTGCTACTGACCAATAGCGCCTACATGTGTACACGGGCCAGAATCGATTCGAAATTTCCGAAACGTGAGTTCAGAGAATAATACATCCGCACAAGACGATATCTGCTCGACGATCGGACACGTCGATACGTAATTCTCTTTTTTTATTTTTCTTTTTATTTCTTATAAGTGCAAACTGAATGTAGACTAAATATAGACTAAATATAAAAGGTACTGCAAATTGCACCAAACACAAAATTATAATAATCATCGTGCTTCTCGAGCGCTTAGTTCGTGCAGATCCGCTCGATAAAAATCGACCGTGAATATAAATACTTTGTAAGTGTGCACATATAGCGGGAGCTATGCGTTTATTCTGCACATTTATTTATTTTTTTATTTGTAAACATCAGATTTCGGTTAGAGAATATTTAAAAGTATATTAAAATTATGATAATGTAAGTAAAATAAGCCACTAAAATTTTACATGAGATAATCGCGGATGACTGGAATCGTTATGGCGTTACGATGTGAGATAAAATATGTTCCGATAGGCTTTCGTAGCTTTTTGTCTACAATCACGGAATTGATGGGTCGCCTGTTGGGTACGTGGGTGCCACTCAACACCGCAAATGCCAGACTCGAACTACATTTGTGGCAAGTAGTGGGAGTCGTGTTAGTGACCGCTTACTGCAGTGGTCTCGCAGCGAGATTAACCAAATGGGAGTATGAAAACAGGTGAAGACTGCTTTCTTTCTCATTCTCTCCTTGATTAAGATTCTGCTTTCGCTGCAGAAAGTATGAATTGACAGTGGCAGTGTCCAGAACACGAAATAACCATGTCAGCGTAGCTGATTGGTTGACACTCGGCCAGGCTCACGCTAAGCTTCGCTTGACACCTCAGAAAATTACTTGCATTTTATCATGTTATTTTTCAGTTTCTCCGTGAAGTGTGTATATCGTGATCTTCACAGCCGTAAAATGTACAGCAAACTCAGTGATACTGGTGATACATTGTAAAAATCGAGAAATTAAATATATTCATATAGGCTGGTATCTCAGTTGTCAAACCACCGTGACAGAAAAATGTAGCATTATTTCAGAAATTATTTTACGATGCTACGTGATATATCAGCCAGATATCAAAGTTTGCTGTACTTTTTATAGGTTTCAGGATTAGAAAAATTATTTGGTTCTTCAGGGAAAAGTAAAAAATAAAGCAATAAAATGCAAGGGATTTTCGGTATGTCATTCTCGCTTCTGATGTCATTAAACCAATATGGCCGCCGTAGAAATAGCAAAGCCTTAAGAAAGTTCTAAGATTTGACTAAATATAAGATAAACTTATGATATTTATATGATGCAACTACCCTACTGAAAATAAACTAATTAAGATCTCTGAGAACTCAATTGAAATCTTATGTGAAATCGTAACTGAGAACTCATATGAGATTTCCGCAAGATTCGGTATGTAAGGTCTCAATTGAGATACTTGTATCTGACGAAAACAATTTATTAAAAATATAATGAACTTTTGCTGAAATGTTTTTGGAAAGCATTCATAATTTTGATCATATTTCATTTTAATTTCATTAATATTTCAGCAATATTTCAGTACAAATTTAGAAAAATTTAGTAAAAAATTATTATTAATCAAAATAGATAATGAAGTATTATTTTGTCTAAATAACAAAAAAATGACATTTCATGTTTTGTATCGTTTCAGTTATTCGTGAGATTCGATCCCGTCTCGGACGGCACCCATTTTAGATAACTATGCTGTTCAATGCTTAACATCAAACGATTGTATGGGAATTGGCTAGGACGCCCTCCACTTAAATATAAGTGGTAAATTATTAAAAAATATTATTTATGGAAACTGGTGATGCTAATGCGTTATAACGATATTGTGGTGGATTATATTTACAATATAAATTTACTCTTATACTATTCAAAAATGTAATGATATATTTGTCGGTAAATGTTTCAAAGCCGTAACAATAATCACAATCTCACACAGAACAAAACTTCCATTAGACATCCATAGATCATCCATAGCTCCATCAGACATTCATCTCCACGGTGGACGACAAGTGGATCTCTAATGGACGTCCATAATTCATCGATGATGGATATCCATAGAACATCCATCGTGGACGTCCATTGTACATCAATTATGGATGTGCAATAAATTTTTACGTTTAATTTTTTATTGAATTTCAGTACGACCTCTATTGCATTATAGCTTTTCAAGAATCAAAATGATATTAATTTGACATCATTTTGACCAAACATTGAACAAATTTATGTCAATTATCAGCCAAAAAAATATTAAATTAATATAATTTTGATTATGTATTACTTGGGCTATTTCCAACAATATAAAAGATGATTGTAAATAAAATATATACTCAGATAGCCAAACCTGCGCGAACAGATTTCAAGCAGAGCTTGCTATCTACTTATGATGGCAAATAGATAACAAATTTGATGCAGGATCTGTTATATCAAATCTTGCTGTCAAATTGCCGCCAGATATGCGGCAGAGCTTGTTATCGGATAATTGCTGCAGATTTGCAGCAAAAACCGCGCAGAGCTTGTAGCGATTTGACGGCAGATTGGCGGCAGAAACCGAGCAGATCTTGCTGCGCTGCAAGCTTTGCGCGGTTTTTGCTGAAAATTTGGCACTAATTGCCCGACAGCAAGATCTGTCGCCAAAACCGTAGCCTAATGTAGACACAGATGGTTATGGTTTTGCTGTGATGGGTTTTTGATCAAATTTGCTGCCAATCTGCGCTCAATTTGCTTACTGGATATTAAATAGTATAAAAACTTTTTTATTTTTATTGTAACATTGACATAAAATAGATCCTTCACAATACCAGTATCATTTTAACATCAATGTCATGAAATTGTCATGAAAATGGTATCGCTTGACGTCAAAATGACATTACTTTTATATTATTTGATGTCATTTTGATTTTTATATGATTTTGTGTTCTACCTGCCCTACTGAAAAAATCCAGCTGAGATCTCAATTGAGAACTCAATTACAGAGTAAATATTCTGTCAAAATATTGTAAGAGAGAAGGAAAGAATATTCTTTCTCTTTTGCGAGCACGTTGTATGTTAAAGTTTGATTACTTATACAACATTGTATCAATATTAATCGCATTGTGATTGTTATTACGTCCTTTGAAACATTTATCGACAAATATGTCGTTATATTATATTTTTGAACGCTATAAGAGTATATTGTAAATAAAATCCACCAAGAAAGATATTGTTACAGCGCAGTGGTATCACCAGTTCCCGACGATCGTTGAGGTTAAGCATTGAAGAGCATAGTCATCTAAAGATGGTGACCGTCTGACACGGGAAATCCACGTGAATCTCACGAATAAATGAAACGACACAAAATATGAAATGCCAGTTTTTTTGTTATTTAGACAAAATAATACTTCATTTTTCATTGAGTGAAATTATGTAATATTACTGAGATATTGCAATATTACTGTGATATTGTGTAATATTATTAGAACGTCCACTGGAAGTTCAATGGAGGTCCAGGATGCGGACATTTGGATATTGAGTGGAGGCTTTATGGACGTCTATTAGAGGTTCTGAATCTCCATGATGGAAGTCTAGTGGACATCCGCTTGAAGTTTTGTTCCGTGTGGGATGCAATTAATATTGATACAATGTTGTACAAGTAATCAAACTTTAACATACAACCTGCTCGCAAAAGAGAGAGAATATTCCTTTTTTCTCTCTCGCAATATTTTGATAGAGTAATGTTATGGCTAGACTCATTTTATAATTATAATAAGACTTTTTTTATAATTATAAAATGAGTCTAGCCATAACCTTACTCTATTAAAATATTGCAAGAGAGAAAAAAGGAATATTCTCTCTCTTTTGCGAGCAGGTTGTATATTAAAGTTTGATTACTTATACAACATTGTATCAATATTAATCGTATTGTGATGGTTGTTACGTCCTTTGAAATATTTATCGACAAATATGTCATTATATTTTTAAACAGTATAAGAGTATATAGTAAATATAATTCGCCACGATATCGTTATAACGCATTAGCATCACTAGTTCCCATACGATAGTTTGAGGTTAAGCATTGAACAGAATAGTTATCTAAAGATGGGTGCCGTCCGACACGGGATCGAATCTCACGAATAACTGAAACGATACAAAATATGAAATGTCATTTTTTTGTTATTTAGACAAAATAATATTTCATTATACTTTCCTCAATCTATTTTGATTAATAATAATTTTTCACTGAATTTTTCTAAATTTGTACTGAAATATTGCTAAAATATTAATGAAATTAAAATGAAATTTGATCAAAATTGTGAATGCTTTCCAAAAACATTTCAGCAAAAGTTTATTATATTTTCAATAAATTGCTTCCATCAGATACAAATATCTCAATTGAGATCTCAATTGAGATCTTATATGCGGAATCTTGCGAAAATCTCATACGAGTTCTCAGTTACAATCTCACATGAGATTTCAATTAAGTTCTCAACTGAAATCTTAGCTTGTAGAACTTTTATAATATAACAAATTTCTTCTAATATGAGATATTTATATTTATATACAGAATATCTGTGATGAAAAATGTTCCATACCTCGTGTACATATATAGATTAAATTAAACATATATAAATTAAGTTAAATATAAGTTAAGTTAAACTGAACACAAAATTCCGATATCTAGATTATCAAGTTATTTTATAAACAATTACATAAAATTTTGAGTTATTAATTTAAAAAAATTGACAAATGATCACACGCAATACGGCAGATGTGCTATAATAACAACGCCTGTTGTCGTGTATTAAGTAAAACTGAATTAAGTTAAACTGAAAAAAAGTTATCTATTATTTTGCAAATAACCACATAGATTTTTAATTAAAAATTAAAGAACATTGGTTAATTAAAGAACAATATCGCGCGTGATAAATTGCCAATCTTCTTTAATTAATAATTTAAAAATCTATTTGGTTATTTTCAAAATAGTACAGCTTTCTTTGTTTAATTTAATTTAATCTACACAATAATAGACATCGCTATCACAATTCATCTGCCGTATTGCATGTAATCAGTTCTCAATTTCCTTTAATTAATAATTCAAAATTTTATGTATTGGTTGTAAAATGCCAAATAATGACTTTATTATTATAAATTGCCATAGTTTCACTTTTTATTTGTGAAAATAAGTGACGCCATCTAGTGGGGTGCTATTTTAAATGGACCATTTTTTCTGAAACGATATGTTAGTTCACCTTAGAATTTGCATTCGTAATCAACGCGCCAAAAACTAATCTGTATTCAAAACTTTTTTTTAAGTAAAGTTTTTTAAGGCACTAATCTATAGGAACTTGGCTACACTCTTTGATAATTATAACGAATTTATGATAAATTTACCGATATACAGGCTGTTTGACGATATAAATAGAATTTTCCTATATGTATAGATTAAGTCAAACTGAATAAAAAAATTTTTTACTATTCTATATATATCATGTGTACATGAATCATGCAAGATTGTTTTTCAGGATCGATACGGTACGTCAATTCCTCGAGGCGAACTTATCATGGGGCCGAAAAGGACAACCGCCCTCTTATTACGATTATTTCGACATGAATGTATGTTGAATATATATAATATTAGCACCACAGACTTCTATGTACTATTAGACTGCTAACTCCCTATGATCGACCTATAGAAAAGTGAGGCAAAATTTTAACATAGTGTGAACAGTGGCAGCCATCTTTGTTAAGGCAAAATTAATACGTGAATATATGGAGTGCCTTAATAAAAATGGTCATTTTTTATCTCAGTTGTAACTAGAGAGTTAGCAGTCTAGTAGTATACAGGATGTCCCATTTTAATCGATCGCCTCAAATATCTCTTAAACAGTGCATTTTAGGGAAAAATGTTTCAGATAAAAATTTTGGGATTTCAGGGGGGACATAAGATGGTATCATTGGTTTGACCTCGAGTGACGTCGTCAAAATCAGGATAAAGTCACTTGAAATTTTTAAATAGAACCCAATTTTTTATTACATATTCTTATAGCATACCTCGAGAGCTTCCCAAAACACTATAATAAAATATTTTTTCATTAAGTATCTTTCAAGTTAAAAGGCTTCAAAGTTACAATATTGTTGCCTTTAGCATTGGTACCCAAGGTGTTCGACCGACGGCTAAAACTTTTTGAATGTTGTTCAGGGCCATGACCTTGACAACATTTGTCAAGGTCAAGGTGATTGGAGGCTGTTCCTAATATTTTCATTTCTTCAAATTTTATAGTGAAAATGAAAATAATAATTTAAAATTACGGAGTAACATGTGGAGTCCGATTGACTCTAAAGGATCATATGAAGGTCACAATACTTCGTCGAGGCCATAAAGAAGCACACGTGTGAAATCCCATTAATAAATTTCTTTAATAATCATAGCTCGTGTCATTCACTTGCTAGCATCACATGTCCGCATTGTTGCTAATCCAACCGCAGGGTAAAAATGTTACCCCATGATTTTAAATTATTATTTTCGTTTTCAATGTAAAATTTGAAGAAATGAAAATATTAGAAACAGCCCCCAATCGCCCTGACAAATGTTGTCAAGGTAATGGCCTTGAACAACATTCAAAAGGTTTAAGCCGTCGGTCGAATACCAATGCTAATGGCAACTATATTGTAAATTTGAAGCCTTTTAACTCGAAAGATATTTAATGAAAAAATATTTTATTATAGTGTTTTGGAAAGCTCTCGAGGTATGCTATAAGAATATGTAATGAAAAATGGGAAGTTCTATTTAAAAAATTTAAAGTGACCTTGTCCTGACCTTAACAACGCCACCCGAGGTTAAACCAATGCTATCATATTATGTCTCCCTCGAAATCCTAAAACTTTTATCTGAAATATTTTTTCCTAAAATGCACTGTTCAAGAGATATTTGAGGTGATCGATTAAAATGGGACACCCTGTATAATAGTATATAGAAGTCTGTGATTAGCACTCGTGTTTCGTTATCGTCCATTATAACTTAACAGAATATGTTACTTTGCAGGATCCTTACTCGAAACAGCTGCCATCGAGATATCTTCATGTGTCGGACGACGAATCAACGCATCGTCTGATTGTCAAGGGCAAATACGCGATCATCGGCAATATCTTGGACTCGATCTTCTTCCCAGAGGATCCTATCATAAGCGAGGATTTCAAAGTGAGATGCGAGTTGTCGACGTGATAAAACATCGCACATGTGTAAAATAAAATGTGTAAGGTCCATCTACAATGGTAGTAGGTAGTAAGACGGAAGCAATTAACAAAGTATCCAATCACAGTCCATTATTTCTGTAGTAATCGACAGTGATTGGCTAATTTGTTTACTACTTATAATTTACTGTCTATTGCTAACCTCATTGTAGATAGTTCTTTATAACAACATGTTAACACGTTAATTACTCCACTTATCAAAAGTTATATTGAAAAAGTATATTGAACATTATATGCTGATGAAAAAGTATATTGAACATTATATGCTGATGATCTTACTATATGAATGATGGTTTTCAAGGTCATTTTAATATTAACTGTTTTTCCTTCTATAAAAGGGAGGGTAATTATGCATAATAATGACGATCTCATAGATTTCAATCACCTTGACATATGTTGTCAAGGTCACCTTCTTAAGTAACGTGCAAAAAGTTTTAATTGTCGCTTGTTGTTTGTTATAAAGTTAACAAAAGAAGATGTATAAAATGAATATAATTTTTGGACAGCGTATATATGAAAACATCGAATTTATAGGCTAGGAAGGTAGTCTGCCACTATCCTAAGTAATGGCGGGGGGGAGGGAGGTACAAGTCTGTTATACTAAAGACTTTCTCACAAAAGACTTGGCCCTCCCGCCGCGGTGCAGGGGCTCTGGGGGGCGTAGTCCACTTACATTGCCGGAAACAGGCACCTTTTTTATTTTTATTATTTTCTATTTATAAAACTTCAAATATAATAGGACACACGCACACACCGCGAGCCCTCCCGACAAGCGAGCAGCGCGCGCGCGCGCGCGCGCGTGTGTGTGTGTGTGTGTGTGTGTGTGTGTGTGTGTGTGTGTGTGTGTGTGTGTGTAGCAAGTATCTTGCTAGCTTACAAATTCGGTGTTTTTATATATACAGTGTTCAAAAATTACTTTTATTTTATACAACTTTGTTTGTTAATAACTTTTTAACAAACAACGAGCAACGGCTAAAACCTTCTGAAGATTATTCAGGAGGGTGACCTTGATAACATATGTCAAGGTTATTAAGATCTACGAGGTTGCCATTATTATGCATAACACAGGCCCACAATTTAAAAAAGTTGTCTGTGTTGGGGGTCTGACTAAGTGTACTATACGTATTTTGAGCTGTTGAATCCAAATCCGGTGTCAGATTTGCTCCATTGAATTTCCCGGAAAATCGAGGAAATCGTGAAAAGGAGCAGATATCTAGGTTTTTACAGAGATATGTATTCAAGAAAAATTCTAGAGTGACAAATAACCCCATAACCCTACAACCAACGTTGAAAATACATTATGTACTTTAACATGGAAAACAAATCATTCTATACGAAATTTCCTTACGGGGCAGTTGTCATCCAACATCCTCTGAAGCAGCAGGATTTATCTGATCGACGATCATATATTGTAGAATTGATATTTCGAATAGAAAAAAGATTCCATCTCGTGGACAATAACATGAATGTGATCATGATAAGGCACGCACAGATTAGATTTTCTAATCTATGCGATGTTAAAGGATTGAAGGGTGAACTAAAACCGAATATGTATGATGGTATATGGGTTATTGGGTTATTGGGTTGTTCTAGTCATCAGATGTTGAAGTACATAATGTATTTTCAACGTTGGTTGTGAGATTATAGGGTTATTCGTCACTCTAGAATTTTCCTTGAATACATGTCTCCGTAAAAACATGGATATCTGGTCCTTTTCACGATTTCCTCGATTTTCCGGGAAACTCAAGGGTGATGGAGCAAATCTGACACTGGATTTTGATTCAGCAGCCCAAAATATGTATAGTACACCTAGTCAGATCCCCAGCACAGACAACTTTTTTTAAATTGTGGGCCTTTGTAATTATTAGATAATTTATTGACTTGCATGACAGTCCGTGATGGCAGAGAGAAGGAAAATAAAGATCATGAAACATCACTTTAAACACACAGCTTATTTTCGTGCTGGATCTAAAGAAATCTAAAGAACGTAACCAGAGCTGCTAGATCAAATACGGATCCAGATTAGATTTTGATTAAATCAAAATTATAAAATAAAGAATTTGATATTTTATGTCTTAAAATTATTTATATTTTAGTGAAAGAGGATTATCCTACATGTTATATTGGAAGAATGTTTAAATACTTTATGACAAAATGTGACGAAAGGAGGGAGGGAGTAAAAAACATTCAAATTTCGCATAACATAATTGTTGAATGACCCTAAAATACATATGTCTTGAAACATTTGTAAGTGTGTGTGTGAGGCGCGCGCCCGTGCCTGCGCGCGCGTGTGCGTGTACGTACGCGTGCATATGTTTGTGAGAGCGAAGGAATGAGAAAAGAAAAAAATGAAGAACAATTATTGTTTATTTTTTTATTCCTAAATAATTTTCAGAGCGTTTACTATTTTTCTTCATATTAAAATAAGATCGGTTTTCAAATTCTTGCCTTACATTTTAAAAAATATCTGAAAAAATCAAACTACAAGCTTCAGTTATTCTATTTTTCAAATCTTGGATGTCAAATATTTACGTACTTATTTATGTTTACTTTTGATTAACCATGGAAACTTTTCACTTCGATCTTTCTAATAGATTTAAAATACTGTAGTATATGTGAGAAAATATAAAGTAAAATTGTAATATTGAAAAAAATTCAATTAATATTTACAATATCTATAATTACTTATAGCAACATTTACATTATTTTTTATGTAAAATATTTTTTAAACCATTTTTATCTAGGTAAAAGATTAATTTTTTGTGTAATCAAAAAGATGCCTTTCAAACATCTTTGCATATTATATAAAAAATAACTAAAAAAGAATGTCTTTTCGTTAACTAATAGCAGTTATGATATTTTAAAGATATCCTTTAAGTATCTATTCGTCTAGCTAAAAAAATGACTAAAAAATAATATCTTTTTAATATTTGAGGCTTTCGCGGTGTCTATGCATATTAGATTTGGTTTCTGGGTTTGAGTCGCGTAGATTCTTCTTTGTTTGATTCCGACGGTTTCATGAACATTTTAGTCCGCTTCTTTAGGAAAGAACGACCCGATGCCGATATTGCTGCTAAGAGGTCTTCCTTTACATAATAGTTGGCATAGGGGGACAGAGAGAAAGAGGCGGGAAGGTGGGAGGGAGTGGTGGTGGGAAATTTATTGTCTCTCATGTTTTGAAAACCGGGAGAACGGATTGCCAGATTGGACTGATTTTTTGTCCATTATTCCTGTTAAGATTGTTGGTGTTCTTTTAAATTTTCAAGGACTCCCTGTATTTCTTAGGGAGTTAGTAATCCTCCCGGTTTTCAAAACATGACAAACAACAAATTTCCCATCACTACCCCCCCCCTCCCCTATCAACATTTCCCAGCCTCCTCTCCTTTCTCCCCTATGCTAATCATTATATAAAGGAAAATTTCTCAGGAACAACTCGGCATCGTTCCTCCCTGATGAAACAGACTGAAATGTTGGCAAAACGTCGAAATCAAACAAAAAAGAATCCACGCGGCTCAGACTCGGAACCAAATCTAATATCTTTTTATTTATCTTTTAGTTTTATATACTATCTGGGAAGCGAGGACGAAAACGACCAGTGTGTCGAAGATGCACGAAACATTTGTGCCATATAAGGGTTATTAGACAATATTTCGGGATAGAGAGAGAGAGAGAGAGAGAGAGAGAGAGAGAGAGAGAGAGAGAGAGA